GGCAATAGTACTGAAGACTTGTGCTCCAGAACTTACCGCTCCCCTAGCCAAGCTTTTCCAGTACAGTTACAACACTGGCATCTACCCAACAATATGGAAAATTGCCCAAGCATATCCTGTACATAAAAAGCAGGACAAATCCAACCTGGCCAATTACCACCCTATCAGTCTACTATTGATCATCAGTAAAGTGATGGAAGGTGTCAGCAACAATGTTATCAAGCAGCACCTGCTCAGAAATAACATGCTCAGTGACGTCCAGTTTGGGTTCTGTCAGGGCCACTAAACTCCTGACCTCATTACAGCCTTGGTTCAAACATGGACAAAAGAGCTGAATTCCAGAGGTGAGGTGCGAGTGACAGCCCTTGATATCAAGGCTGCATTCGACTGAGTGTGGCATCAAGGAGCCCTAGCAAAACTGGAATCAATGGGTATCGGGGGCAAACTCTCCATTGGTGGAGTCATACCTGGCACATAGGAAGATGGTCGTGGTTGTTTCAGGTCAATCATCTCAGCTCCAGGACATCTCTGCAGGAGTTCCTCAGGGTAGTGTCCTCAGCCCAACCATCTTCAGTTGCTTCATCAATGACCTTCCCTCCATCATAAAGTCAGATGTGGGAATGTTCGCCAATGATTGCACAATGTTCAGCACCATTCATGTCTCCTCAGATACTGAAGCAGTCCGTGTTCAAACGCAACAAGATCTGCACAATATCCAGGCTTGGGCTGACAAGTGGCAAGTGACATTCACACCACACAAATGTCAGGCTATGACCATCACCAATAAGAGACAATCTAACCACCGCCCCTTGACATTCAATGGTGTTACCATCACTGAATCCCCCACTATCAACATCCTGGGGTTATCACTGACTGGAAACTCAACTGGATTCACCACATAATCACAGTGGCTACAAGAGCAGGGTGAACACAGCAGGCCAAGCAGCATCTGAGGAGCAGGAAAGCTGACATTTCGGGTCGAGACCCTTCTTCAGAAAATCTCAGATTCTCCAGCATCGGCAGTTCCTACTATCTCGGCTACAAGAGCAGTTCAGAGGCTGGGAATACTGTGGCGAGTAACTCACCACCTGACTCCCCCACAGCCTGTCCACCATCTACAAGACACACGTCAGGAGTGTGATGAAATATTCCCCACTTGCCTGGATGAGTGCAGCCCCAACAACACTCAAGAAGCTTGACACCATCCAGGACAAAGCAGCCCAATTGATTGGCCCCACATCTACAAGCATCCACTCCCTCCACCAACGATGCTCAGTAACAGCAGTGTATACTATCCACAAGATACACTGCAGAAATTTACCAAAGATCCTTAGACAGCACCTTCCCAACCCACGACCGCTCCCATCTAGAAGGACAAGGGCAACAGATATATGGGAACACCACCACTTTCAAGTTCCCCTCCATGCCACTCACCATCCTGATTTGGAAATATATCGCCGTTCCGTCACTGTCGCTGCGTCAAAATCCTGGAATTCCCTCCCTAAGGGCATTATGGGTCAACCCACAGCAGGTGGACTACAGCAGTTCAAGAAGGCAGCACATCACCACCTTCTTAAGGGCAACTAGGGACTGGCAATAAATGCAGACCCAGCCAGTGACACCCACATCCCCTAAATGAGAGGAAAAAGCAGGAATACTCTACTTCCCTATATCACTGACTGAGTTAGAGAAAGGATGGGTGAATGAGCCTGGATGTTTTGACCATGTGTCAGTCAGGGATGAGGTCAGTGAAATATTAAGGTATGCAGCCAGGACACACCCCATCTGGTTGTCAGAGCAACCACTCCCTGCTCCTTAGGAGGCCAGTCTGGCAAAGATTGTGACTCCTTGTGATCTCTTTTGCTCCTTCCTGTATGGTAGATCCCAGACTGTGCTGTGCTATGTATATATTGCTCTATACTGCTCATAAAACAGTAGATACTGCTGAGCATACAAATGTGATATACTGTAAGCAGAGACATTGCTGGGAAGCTCAATTATATATCCACAGTCCTCAATAAACAGCAGTAGGTGATTGGGTAGAAAGCACTAAATTCAATAATGAAATGAGACCTGTGTTCGTTTCAGACCCAGACTCCCAAATTTATTTTTGCTCAGAGTTTGTAATGCACAAGTTCTAATCAGTAATATCAGGTCGTAAGCAGCCTTACCAACCTCCCCTAACATCACTATTAGAGGATAATGAAAAAGGCTCAGGATCTTTGAAGCCATTGACATTATAGTGATGTCAAAAGGAGCAGAAGCTTGGTATACCCATCCTCTCCTTGCTTACGTTTTGCTACTAATTACTGTTACATCATTAAAGTTTTGCAATCCCAACTTTTTCCAGACTTCCTTCTAGTCCAGATGGTTTTTAAGAATGGATATTTTCACAAAACTTGATTTCTTTTGAGGCAAGATTTTGGGGATTCATTCCTGAAGTGGCAGCATCCCAGTTCTTTTCCAAGTCACCTATCAACTTGTCTTAGGTACTTCTCAGCTTCTGGGAGAGGTATCTGCTGTGGTTCAATGGTGGCACACTCACATCTGAACCAGAAGTTGCAGGTTCAAGTCCCACTCCAAATATTTCAGCACTGATTCCAGGCTGAGTTTCCAGTACAGTCCAGAGAGAGTCAGAAAGTTTGTAGTTTAGATTAAACGTTAAATTGAGACCTTGATCTGCTCACTCAGGAGTGGATATAAAATATCCCACTGCACTATTTTGAAGGAGAGTCGTTTTAAATGTTCTGGTCAATATTTATCTCTCAACCAACATCAGCAAAATCACATGATCAGTTCCTTATCCCATTGCTGCTTACGGGAGCTTGCTGTGTGCAATTGGCTGCTGAGTTGGTGTATGACCAAAATGACAACACAACTAAGTTCTAATGAAGTGCAGATCACTCCTGTATTGTAGGAAGCACAGGAAAACACTTTGTCTGGTTGTGAAAATTAATATATTAAAAAAAAGTCTACCTTATTTTTTGCACCTTTGTTGTTGCTCAGAAAATTATTGAACCCATTTCTCCAAATGTCTCTGGATCACTAGGCCACTCTCACTATTAACACCCTCTCTCCATTGCCTCAGAGAAGCAAAGCTGTTGCTTGTCTAGACCTGCCTATTGGACAGGGAGCTTGACTATGCTGAGGCAAGCAAAAGTTGAGGGAGATGGTGGTGAGAAGGAACTGGGAGTCCTCTTGGGTCCATGCGAGAGGATTTAGTCCCTTCAGATAACATCACTGATGAGTAGCATATAGATAAGAACTTTTTTTTGTTCATTCACGGCGTGTGGGTGTCACTGTTGGACCAGCATTTATTGTCCATCCCTAAATACCCAGAGAGCAGTTAGAAGTCTGCCCCATTGCTGTAGGTCTGGACTCACAAGTAGGCCAGACCAGGTACAGTAAGGATGGCAGATTTCCTTTGCTAAAGGACTTTAGTGAACCAGACGGGTTTTTCCAGCAATTAACAATGGCTTATGGTCATCATTAGACTCTTATTTCCAGATTATTACTGAATTCAAATTCTACCATCTGCCATGATGGGATTCGAATCCAGGTCCCCAGGACGTTACCTAGGTCTCTGGATTAATAATTTGATGATAATACCACTAGAACATGGCCTCCCCCTAATTAGATCCCAAAGATAGAGCCTCAGGTGACCCCAGAGGCAAAGGTACAGGAACGTGAAATCATTGCAGTGAATTCCCTGACTGAACTGAAGTGGAATGGAACCTGGTGTAAGAATTCCCCCCACCCCCTCCCAAAACCGGAGAAGACTGCTTTTGGTTAAATTAACCATGTCACAGGCTGCAGATAGCTCTAGATGAGGAATCAGGTATGAGCACTGATTTGCATATCAAACAACCTGGTTCCAGATACAATGCCAACTTTGCAACAGGCTCCTGCAAGTTTCACCCACTTCATCTGAAACAAACAGTGTCTGATGCAACTTTGTCACTTCTCCCTGGAATCCAGCTGGTTGCATTGCAGCCACAGGAACAGGCATATCCCTTGCTGGACTGAATGCGCTGTGCTTCTCTAACAAAGCATTCTGCCAGGGAAATCCTCTGAAGAAATCCACTCCAAAAACTTGGGAAAATAAAACAGACACATCCAAAAGGCTGCCTGATAAATATATATGAAGTAATTGGGATTTGGCTTCCTTCACAGATGGGGAGTATAAAATATCCTATCTTCCCTGTTCTTCCCCCATGAGATGCAGTCATAAACTCCCTGAGTTACACTTCAGCGCAGTCATATTTTGTTTCCTTCCTCCTCCCTATTCCCCAACCTTCTTAAAAACTTCTCCAGAGGTTCTACTTCCAGCTGTTTTCAGGAACATTTAAAAAAAAATATGTAACATAATTGAATTTCTATTGCTAACTCTCCCCACAAACACACAGCTCACAGGTTTGGAGAAGATTTAAAGTTTATCACCTGCATATTTTAAGTAAAATTTACATTTATATTCAAGGACAGGTGGTTGGTTTAAAATTCTGAACACCCCAGATATTCGGACCTCCTATCTAACGTGTTAATGTCTCGTTTAAGGTTGCACCCAAAGTAATAATTTATTAAACACAACTTTGTTCCAAACGTACTTTTGAATTAGTAAAATGTTTTCAAAACAGTTACTATTTGACGCGCCTTCCTCCCAGTGAAATGTAGGAAATTCATTTTGCAGTTTCTAATACAACGGATGCTGAAAATGAAGACAATTTTTCAACAATAACAACAACCAAAAATTGTTGTGTAAGACAGCACCAAAACAGGGCAGCGTTGCAGGTAGGCACTCTGATAAATTATTAGCGAGTTTATCCAAAAGGCAATAAGACTCTTTTTGTTGTTTGTTTGTTTTTGCTTTGAACGTGAAAATGGAAAATAACTTGTTGTTGTTCCTGTTATTTGGATAAAGGCGGGGGTTCTGTGTTAAAATGGCTGAGAGGGAGGGGAATATTGGACAACAGCATTACACACAGTGAGCGCTCCGCTGGTACCTGTACTCCGCAGATCCGCCAGTGCGGTTGAAATGGGATCTTCCGCAACTCGCCCAGTGCTCGACTCTGCCCTGGTTCCCTGCATCGAACCCACATCGTCTGGTCCCTCCGGTAGGTCATCCGAGAGATCAGCAGCCCTCAGTCACCCAGCAACATTCATCTCTCCTACATCATTCCCGGGTGGGGGCCAGCGCCGCTCAATGTTTATACAACACGCCTCTGGGGAGGGCGAGACAGAGAGAGAGACTGAGGGAGTCTGAGAGAATACCTGCAGTGTCCTGGTCACATTCAGGACAGTGTTGATGCTCCCCTCCGCAGGGTGGGGGCAGGAGAAGGAGGACCAGGTGGGTGGGGGCTTTCCGTCACAAGTTTGACTTTGTCCAAACATTCCGTTTCCAGTCACAGGACGGAGAAGTGAACCTCCACGTGTCAGTCAATCCGGTAGAGGAACAGCCCAGGTAGAGGGGGCGAATGGCAAACAGTGTCGGTGTGTGAGAGTCAGAGAGGGATCGGGTGTGAGAGTTACAGTGGGAATGAGTGTGAGAGTGAGATTAGGTGTGAGTCAGTGTGAGTGAGTGTGTGAACGCGGGAATAAGTGCGAGAGGGAGTGAGAGTGAGGGGGAGAGTGCGAGAGGGAGTGAGAGTGAGGAGGAGAGTGCGAGAGGGAGTGAGAGAGGGGGAGAGTGCGAGAGGGAGTGAGAGTGAGAGTGCGAGAGGGAGTGAGAGTGAGGGGCAGAGTGTGAGAGGGAGTGAGAGTGAGGGGCAGAGTGCGAGAGGGAGTGAGAGAAAGGGGGAGAGTGCGAGTAAACGAGAAGGATGTTAGTGAGAGTGTGTGAAAATGCGATTGTGTGAGTGTGGCAGTAAAAGAGTGAGAGAGAGGATGTGTGTGTGAAAGAGGGATGTGAGAGAGAGCATGAGTGTCGAGTGTGTGAGAGTGACAGTGTGAATGAGAGTGTGAGGGATCTGGGTGTGGGAGGGAATGTGAGTGTGAGATAGGGAGAAAGAGAGTGAATGCACAGGTTTCCAGGGTTGCTTTCGCAGATCAGTTGTGAATATTATTTCCTCCGTTCGCTCTCCACAATTCGACCGGAAAACCAACGCATCTCAGTGCGTTTATGGACTCTTGCTAAAATGGAATCTGGAAATCAAACAGGACGCGCTGACTAAAGGCGCACTGCCAACTGGCATCTCCAACACAGACCTGGGCTTTTCCCGTGCAGCTGCACGGCTGCCGTGTGGAAAGGTTTCAGAGTCAGGGTACTGTTCAGCAGCTCCGAGTCCTCACGGGGTCACAGCGTCAGATATTCACCCGCCATGCTCCTTTCTACTTTGGAAACTAACGAATACAACGTTGTCCTGTAAGGACACAGACTGGGAGAGAGAGAGAGAGATAGAGTGGGGGTACAGACTGGAGGAGAGAGAGAGAGGGCACAGACTGGAGGAGAGAGAGAGAAGGCACAGACTGGGGGAGAGAGAGAGAGGGCACAGACTGGGAGAGAGAAAGAGGGCACAGACTGGGAGAGATAGAGAGAGAGAGGGTACAGACTGGCAGAGATAGAGAGAGAGGGCACAGACTGGGAGAGAGAGAGGGCACAGA